CATTCTAAGAAATCTGTAAAATAACAGTAATAAGCCATTTATCTACTGAAGCAAGGCCCTGCTGTGCCTGACTGATAAATACTAAGGACATAGCTAAAATTATTACAGTATACAGTTTTCAGCAACTCATTTGGTTTCTCGCTACATTAATTACATAAATAATTTACAACCATAGACTTAACCCAAGCACGAAGACCTGGTCGGGGAGTGTCCCTGTCCGTCTCTGAGCACCTGGACACAACCAGCCAGTTAATTCGGTAGAGGAGCTGATGGTCCCACCTCGTTAGGGACGGGCACTTTTCATTTTTAACTCTCTATTAGTCTGATTTTCCTGGAAGAGGCAGAGAGAAGGTGCTCAAACCGTGTCTGTGTTCATCCGCATCATGTTTCCTGCTTTTGCATCTCCCTTGTTTTTTGTTGGTGCTTTTTCAAATCCGTGTTGATGTTTTCCCGGGTCACATGGAACCAACTGTGTTGAACTGTTCTGGTCCATCAACCAGGAAGTTCAGACTTCCAGTGGGATTCAGGCCCATCCACCAGCAGCTGATTATCAGGCTGCTTCTGTATCAAAGTTAGCAAACAGAAAAGAAGCTGTTCATGAAAAGTGCTAGCCTAGAAATCTAGACAGACAGTAGCCAAAGCGAAATGATTTTGCTCTGCATGTTGGTCTAGCCATAGGAACCTCAGCCGGGCATTGGCCTGAGCAGTATTCTGTTGTGCTAATCACAGCGGTCTAGTGGTTTGGTGGGCGGGATGTAACGGCAGCTGAGTGAGATTGCAAAGATGGCGTCAGGTTATTTGAAACGGCTTCGGACTACAATTAAAGTTTTAAACATTCCTGTGTAAGTGGGCTTCTCATTAAATGTCGTACAAGACCTGAGCCCTCATTTATCAAACGTTTGTAGAAACTGTCCTGTATCTCTTGAATGAATTTTAGAATGTTCGTACGAACGGTCAAAATCCTGATTTACGAAGCATGCTGTGGTCACTCCAGCGTATGTTCCTGCACCATCGAGTGTTGATAACTCTCCTGGTAGGGCTGGGCAATATATCAATATAATTTTTAAACAAGATATAAGATGACTTTATATCTTTATATTGACATAACTGGTCAAACTGCTATGCTAGCGATTAGCCGCTATGCTAGCGACATGTTGCTCCGTCTCTAAGCGGCTATTAGATGCATTCTCACAAGTTAGCTCAATCTGAGAGCCTCTGGGTAAATGTGCTGGTCTAAAATTTGCATTTGGCGTTCTGGTTTTTAATTATTTGGGGACGTTCAACGCCAACGGAGTTCTGTTTTCCATCCTGCTTGTGCGGAGAGACGAGCCAAACCCCTCCCTCCCCTGTGTAATGAGGAAAAATCTACGGATAGCCAGACTGGCCAAGTTACCTCAAACATATTGTAAGGGTTTGAATTGTAAACTATAGATTCAACGTTTTATTTTGAAGGTGAGCTCAACAGGTGAGAAATGTTGTTCCGGTTTTTTCCGCTCTGGTTAGCTACGCTAGTAAAAACTCCGTTACGAGCGATTCTGTTAAAAAAAGTTAAGTTTGTAAGGCGTGGGTTACGGCGACAGTAGCCCGAAAATAATGTTCATAAAAGAGCAACCAGAGCCTCTGAGTCATTACAGTATAATCGCTGATATAAGCCAATCCTGTTAGACTGCAGCCATGTTTGCCCTGATAACTAATAACTCCATGGTGCATTACCCATGTGACCTTCAGTAGATGCAATTACATCATCATACATTTAGCTTAACATGATAGATTTTTATTCTCTGGACAAGAAATATATGATATGGCCACTTCTAGATGAAATTTAAATAATTTTACATTAATTATAAATATATAAATAAAAAGTACCTGTGGGACATTTGGTACACCTCTAGGTCTCAACTGTGTGTGTGTGTGTGTGTGTGTGTGTGTGTGTGTTTGTGTGTGTGTGTGTGTGTGGATGCCTTAACAGGCAGCTGTACAAGAGAATAGGCACTAAGGTTAAAGTTTAACAAGAATCAATACATTTTCATGCATTAATCTACTGATTTATGTATAATTTATCAAGACAGCTTGAAGTGAGTTAACTTGTAAATATTTTACAGGAGGAAAAATATCGAGATATATATCGTAAATCGGAATTCAGCAAAAAGATATCGAGATGTAAGTTTTGGTCCATATCCATATTGCAACCAGTCGTCCTGTCCCTGCAGCTGAAGAACACCCCCACAGCATGATGCTGCCACCACCATGCTTCACTGTGGGGACTATTTGACAAGTGATGAGCAGTGCCTGGTTTTTTCCACACATACCACTTAGAATTAAGGACAAAAAGTTCTACCTTGGTCTCAGACTAGAGAATCTCATTTCTTTCTTATATTTCAGAGGAAAAATATGAATTTAATTGATTTTAACAAACAGCTGCAATATAACAGAGTTAAATTTTACAGGGGTCTGAATACTTTTCCTTACCCACTGTAGGTTTACACAAAAGAAACTCTTTTTATACACTTTTTTCCCTCACTGTGCCAAATATAAACTGAACAGTGGCATTAAAATCAAGTCACTTACCGAACTGGGGTTTTAGGATTTTATTATACTCCTATTAAACATGAATAGCCATGTTAAAACGTAAAAATGGTAAAACTCCCAAACTGGCACAGATGAAACAAGGGTCTATAAATAAAGCTGCCAGTATTTACCCCATATAGCTGCATGAATAGCATCTTTATTCTAGATGGTTATGGAAGAGTGACAGATGAAGAACGGATGTTGATGTCACTGCTCGTCGTTCCTCTAACCGTTAAGCCACTGTGGCATACCACATTATCAGTCACCCACAATAAGCTGTGTGTGTGTGTGTGTGTGTGTGTATGTATGTATGTGTGTGTGTGTGTGTGTGCCACCCCTCCTATTTTAATCTCCCTCGGCTGCCCGGACCTCTGGGACTGAGCAGACAACTTTCAGAAGAGAAGTGGATAAGAAAAAGCTGCACGGATAAAGATGAGCATGGAGGGGAGGTGTGTGAAATGTGTGTCTTCCTGTCTTTTGGGTGTGTGTGTGGAAATTTACCACACAATCTGGGTGTTGACTAGAATATTAAATGCTATAGTTTCAAAACAAATCTAAAAGTATTGTGCTGAATTTGATTAGAAATAATCCTGTGGAATATTTCTTAAGTCCTTCAAAGAGGTGTCTTCAACCAACAGCAGCCCTAATTCACTTTCAGCTAAGTGGTGACATGTTGAGGCAGCGCTAGCGGAGCGGTAACATGCATGCACCCTTAAAGGGGAAGAGTTTTTGAAGGTTGTGTGGCGTGTGCACGATTAGTCCATTTCAAGAAAACAGAGCTGATCTGAGTTTTGAGATTCAGGGAGAAAATTTCACGAAAGGATGAAGCTAACATCTCTTCAGAAAGAAGCTAACATCTCTCTTTAGAAAGAAGCTAACATCTCCTCTAAAAGAAGCTAACATCATCTCTTCAGAAAGAAGCTAACATCTCTTCAGAAAGAAGCTAACATCTCTCTTTAGAAATAAGGTAAACATCTCCTCTAAAAGAAGCTAACATCTCTCTTCAGAAAGAAGCTAACACCTCTTCAGAAAGAAGCTAACATCTCTCTTTAGAAATAAGCTAACATCTCCTCTAAAAGAAGCTAACATCTCTCTTCAGAAAGAAGCTAACATCTCTTCAGAAAGAAGCCAACACATTCTCTGAAAGAAGCTAACATCTCCTCAGAAAGAAGCTAACACACCCTCAGAAACATCTCCAGGGATTTTCCTGGCTCAAACTGAGGCAGAGGTGGTAGCATCCTGACCCTGCGCCAGCACGTATACTCGTGCGTTCAACTGCCTCACTTTTTCAAAGGCAAATATTATGAAAAGCTCAATAATATGCATTAGATTGGTGTTTAGTTCCTTTTTCCATCTGATATTTATAGTTAAAATATTTTTAAATATTTGACCTACATTTCAGTAACTTTTTAGGTTTGTATTAAGAACACTCATCTTAGTCTAAATGACACAAATACATCCAGTAAAATACAATGCATTTCATTAACATGCATTTGTGTTGGAAATGGTAATAACATTCAATTTCTGCTGCTACCAATGTAATGGTGGCATGTCTATTATGTACGGGTTGGCAATAATTCAGTTTAGATTATGTTCAAACATAGAAGCAGATGTGAATTATATACTACAATGGCTTGCCGTACTTCCTGCTCCTGTATGTGGAGCAGACTTGTAGCAGTAATGTGACTCGTATCTGCAGAGGTTCTGATCCGTAGCGCTGCAGGATGCAGAATAAACAGGATGGTGGGAACTTTTCATCCACTTGTGGAGTTTAGTCTTTCTTGGTTTGACAATCATCATGTGTTTTTCTGTGTGCCACTTGATCGTGAGACTGCTAACCGTTAGCTTTAGCATCAGTCAGTCTGCGTGTAGCTGCACTTGTGATCCCAAACCTTGGACTGGTTCTGCCTTTGCTGGTTCCTTTATTTTCCTCCACTGCATCCAGATGACCACACTGTGCGCCAGTAAGAAGCATTTTTCTGACACGTAACGTAAAAATAGACAGACACAACAGTTTTTTCGTCACGCTGTACAGCCCTGCTCTGATATGGAAGAGCCTAGGGGGGGGGACGGGGACGTCTATAACACAAACCATAGATATGTACCAACTAGCGAGAAAAGCTGTTTTTGATCTTTTTCTGCAGCGGTTTTAGCGCTTTTCGGTGCACCGCTGCTGGTACAGCGTCCTTATAGTGGCGCAA